AAGTCGTCGTAACTCACCCCCTCCCGCCTCCCCCGCCCCACAAGTGTGTAATCACCCCCCTCCCGCCTCCCCCTGCCCCACAAGTGTGTAATCACCCCCCTCGTGCCTCCCTCCAGGTCGCACCCAGACCCCTCACACCTCCCCCTGCTCGGGCCCCCCCCCCAGCGCTGATTCACCCGCAAGGCCCCATTCCAGCCGGGCAAGTCCGGGCTGCAGCGTTTGCTGCTGTCTGCCCCCTCAGTCCCAGTCTGCCCCCCCAGCCCTGTTAGCCCCCTCCCCCCAGGGCAGAGACACCGGCCCATCCGTCCGTGCCTGGCTGGGAGTTTGGGGGACCAGGCCCTGATAGGGGGCCCGGGGGGCACCAGGGAGCTGGGCCCTGGGGAAGCTGCCTCGGGCTGGGCATTAACCCCCCCGGCACCCCCTGACTGACTAACACCCCCAGGCAGAGGGGGCGCAGGACGGGGTCGCTGGGCAGGTCCCGTTTCACTCGCTTTGCAGGGGTGTGAACAGCAGCCGGCCCAAAGCCAGCCGGACAGACAGACGCCCCTGCCCCCCAGACAGACGGACGGACAGACTGACAGACACGCCCCTGCCCCCCAGACAGACGGACAGACAGACACGCCCCTGCCCCCCAGACAGACGGACGGACAGACTGACAGACACACCCCTGCCCCCCAGACAGATGGACAGACAGAGACGCCCCTGCCCCCCCAGACAGACGGACGGACAGACTGACAGACATGCCCCTGCCCCCCAGACAGACAGACGGACGGACAGACACGCCCCTGCCCCCCAGACGGACGGACGGACAGACATGCCCCTGCCCCCGGACGGACGGACGGACAGACACGCCCCTGCCCCCCAGACGGACGGACGGACAGACACACTCTTGCCCCCCAGACAGACAGACGGATTGACAGACACGCTCCTGCCCCCCAGACAGACAGACGGACTGACAGACACGCCCCTGCCCCCCGGATGGACGGACATGCCCCTGCCCCCCAGACGGACAGACGGACAGACAGACACTCCCCTGCCCCCCAGACGGACGGACGGACAGACAGACACGCCCCTGTCCCCCAGACAGACGGACGGACTGACAGACACGCCCCAGCCCCCCAGACAGACGGACAGACAGACACGCCCCTGCCCCCGCGGACGGACGGACTGACAGACACGCTCCTGCCCCCCAGATGGACGGACAGACTGACAGACACGCCCCTGCCCCCCAGACGGACGGACGGATGGACTGACAGACACGCCCCTGCCCCCCAGACGGACGGACGTGCAGACCAGGTCGTTGGGGGAGGGGAGGTTTCCAGTTGTGAAATTGGCAGCAAGGAGCCAAACCCCAACTTCCCTCCCGGCTCAGGCCAGCCGGCTCTTCTGAGACCGGGGTGGGGGGGGGTTCCTGGGTTCCCCCATGATTCTGCCCCCCCCCCACTAGTGACTCCTGTCCACACACACACACACACACACACACAACCAAACCCTGCCGGGGGGACGGCTACGAGGGATGTGACGAGGGG